GTCATTCATTATATGCTAAAGGAGCTATCGCATTGCACTTCGATGAATGTCTATTCGGAAATTTGTGATCACAGTGGAAGTATACCAATAGAACATGATTAGTTTACTTCAAGAATTTATGGAGAACGAAGACTACTTATGTGATCAAAATCGAACAAACAACAAACCAAATTTGAGATTACACTATGATAAATTGATATGAAGATAGAATTGTATGAAAACCATACTCATAAAAGGTAATTGTAAAATAAGTAATCCTTCTAAAGAATTGGGTAGTCATAATGCCTTACTAGAAATCAATCTTGATTTATATATGGAGAGATAAAAGATGTGTCTTTTACTTCTCGATACATTATCAACATATCTAAAAGCCTATTGAATCATAGGTATAAATTTAAATATTCACACAAAAAATAGAAGCGAAGATTTTGGAAAAAATTTCTTATTTTGGAAATCAATTTCTTATTTTAGAAATCAGTTTCTTGAAATGGAAATCGATTTTCTATTTTAGAAATCAGTTTCTTAATTGGAAGGAAAATGCCTAAAATGAAAATTAATTTTTTAATTTAGGTTTAATAAATTACAAGGGTAACTTAGGAATTTATTTCTAATGTGGGCCTCACTAAAAATAGTTGACCAAACTTGTTTGAATGGTCAAAAGTAATTATTGACTATTGGGCCAAAGGAATTTAGGCTAATAGGCCTAAGTAAAAACTCGTTAAGTATTTTAAGTGGATGGATAATTTTGAGACCTAAAAAATAAAGCTCAAGGTTTATGAGGATGAGATTAGACAAAACCTATATAAGTTATAACTCCTTAATCCAAAAGGACTTGGTGCAGCTCATATAAGAGAGAGGGAAGGAGACACATAACATAATAATAAAAGAGAAAAAATTCATACATCTATCCCAAAAAGAAAAGTACTCACCACCCTCTCTCTAAATTTACGAAAACAACCTAAAGTGATTTCTTGAGAGAAAAACATACACGAGTAGAAAAACTTAGAGCTAGCATTGTAGATTTTTCGTATACTTCTTATGTGAGTATTTAGCTACATGAATCATCGGTAAAGATCATACGCTTAGACAATTTTATCCATGAATTTGATTTTATACTACAAGAGGCAACATTTAATCATTTTGTTAATATATAGTTAGTTAATTCAATAACCGATGAGCTCCCTCGATTGCCCTCAGCGGTCTTCGATTGCGAGACGGTTTTTCCAAGTTAGGCTTTTCTACTACCTTAACTTGGAGAGTATCTTTACTAGTTAGATCAATAATAGGTGTGCATTGTATCTCGGTGACCTTGTTGGCTTATTGTATAAGAAAACTATTTAGTAAGAGAGTATGTCCCGATAAGAAATATGGTTACCCTCATTGATAAGTGGGATGGTAGATGACCCGGGTTGTATATTTAGCAATGAAATGAGATATGGCATTTCTCCCCGAGTTTGATTCGACTTGAAATGCCCTCGCCACCTAGTAATGCCTACAATGTCCTTTTTAGGAAGTCAAAAAGGCAAGCAATTTCCCATTTCATCACATCAAGTTCTTATTGGTAGACTTGCTTTAACCGTGTCCTCTCTTAGTTCTCTATTTATTGTCACTAGAGTCGGTTATAATGTATTCGATGAGGGAGTTAAGTTTTAATAAGGCAACCTATATTTCAATTTAAGAAACTCAATGTATATATATATTATATAAATACACAATCAAAATATGCATTCAAAATATGAATTGGGTTGGGTACGTTGCATTGTCGCTGCAAACTTTAAATCATGATAGGATTTGTACTAAGTATATGTCAAATCATATTTTTATTACTTGTTGAGGGTACAACCCCATAGATACCTTGAGCTATTTAAGAAATATATCCACCCCATTTTTTATCTCTTTTGGTTAGGATTTGGGTAGTTGCAAGTCTTATAATAGTGAAATAGAAATTGTAATTTAGACATCTAGCATATTCTAAATATGACTTAAAACCATTTTTCATTGAAGGATAAAAACAATATAGTTGTTTGATTTATATTACAATAATTTTTTGAAAACAAAAAGAAAACTACAACCATTTAAATCCTGTTACAAAAGTTCATATCGCTTTATTACAAGGCGATTCTTATTCTAACTCTTACCATAATCTTAAACCCTCATATGAGGCGGCACTAACTATAAGATTCTCGGGCCTTTCATATCAAATTTAGAGCTCTTCCGTAATGTAGCGCTCATAGTAGCTAGACACTTAATTGTGTTATGCATTCTTACGACATAGTTTATGGCATTTTAAGTTTTGAGATGATATTCCCTAGTTCGAGACCTATTCGACCATATCTCTCTTTAAAACATCTTTTTCCTTAGCCACTACATGGATCGCCAAATCATGCTCCCCTCGATCCTCGTACTTTGACCATTTCTTCGTGGTTAGCTCTGATTTTTCCTTTCTAACTCCCTCGGACAGGTGTTCAAATATCGGATTATCTAAGCCTAATTTATGATATGATCCTCGGTGGCGGCCTTAACTTCTTTGAGATCTTCTTTCTTAATCTTGAGTTCTTCTATCTCATCTTGAAGTTCCCTTTTCTCAAGATCAAGCTCGATCAATTCCTCAATCATTAAGGAAGTAAATTCAATTAAACCATTATATTCTAAACCCGAGTGCATGATGATCGATCCTTAATTATCTTAGAGCATTCTTAATTTGTTAGAGTCGAACTCGTAGTTCCTCTTTCTCTTTTCTAAAACATTTACCGATAGGTCTCACACTTTTGAGTTTTCTTCTAACATATTTTTATTTTTCTTCATCTCTTTTATTTAGGAATTCAGACTTTTATGGTAGAGCACATGTTGGGCATTTACTTCGTAGTAGATGTCCTTCGAGGTCTCACCCATCAAACTTGTCGGATCTCTAAAAGGTGAAACTCAATACCCCTTCCTTCTAGTTTGTTGTCATTTTGAATAACCGAGAAAATTATTTCAATTAACTCTTCTTATTAGAGTAATAATCCATTTGCACCTCAAAGCTCTTTAGCTTCTTCAGAAGTTTTTTTGTAAGTTCTAAAGTCTTCATAATATTCTACCAATCTGGTAGTTTTTGTTATTTCAACACCATAATCCTAACCCAAATCTATTCCAAACCAAGTTCAATCCTTTTCTTACTCCATAAACAATATACCCAAGGATTTAAGTAATAAAAACTTACGACAACGAGTGATAGTGTCACATCCTTTTTTTTTTTCAAAACTTAAGAACAAATAACCGAAATAAGCTAAACTAAGATAATGTAAATTAAATGATGGGTTATCTAGTGAACTTAGATGTGGAGGATAGAGTGAAAACTAAATTTTGATTGACTAAATTGTTCTATCTCCTCTCGTTTTTAGGAACCCAAGAGCGAGTAGTGATGGCTAGGTTTGTTTGCTCGTTTTTAACCTATAATCAATTTGGAAACACACCCTAAACCGAACCTAGATGCTTATGAACGTAAGGCTTCTATAAACCCAAAAAATTGCCAACTTTCTTTTACTCAAAACCCTAAAACATTTCTCTCCCTAAACTCTAAATCCATTTGTTTTTTTTTCCTTATATTAAAACCTAGAAGAAAATCCTCCCCTTTCCTTCTCTTTGCCAAGGTCTTTTTATACTCCCCTCATCGTTATTGATCGAACCCTTCATTCTTTTCCCCCTCTTCGACCTTCTATTCAATTTAAATAACCAATTCCTCGCTCCTCTTTTGTTTTCTTTCCTAGCATTTTCAACTTTTTTTCTTTTTTATGCAGTGTGTCTTGTGGCCAAAACAAAAGAAAGGATAATGAGCTGAGATGAGAGAGAATGTGTACACAGGGTAAGTTGGATAATAGAATTAGAACCCAAAATTTGTTTATGCGGGTTTTTTTTGTTAGAGGATGAAGGCGGATTCATAGTACATGACTATGTTTTTTTGTTTCTTCAATCGGACGACAAGTCGTCCACAAAGAAAAAAAAACACATTTAAATTGGTCTTTTTGTCCACGTTACCCCTCCACTCTTGTCCCTTCGTGTTTCAATATTTTGCAATTACTCCCCTATTAGCTTTCAATTTCGAGTCCCTATTTATACTATTATATCCATATTTCATTCAATTTCATCCTTAATTATTTTTCAATTGCAATCATGACTATTTCCAATTTCAATCCTTATTCCATTCAATTATACCCCTAATTAATTATGCCATGCAATTTTGATATCTTTTTTAATTTCTTCCTTTTCTTTTCCTTTTTTTTTTTTTAAGAGGGAATTGATTATATATGTTTTTGACAAAATGAAGGATGACTCGTAAAAATCCTAAAATGAAAAATGAAGCTAACAAGATAAGATAAAATAAAATAAAATAAATACAATAAAAGAAAAATAAAATGAATAATAAAAAATAAATATAAATATAACCCAAATTTTGGGTTATGACACATGGCATAACCAATGATTCAATTTTTTTTTTTTTTTGGGAATTTTTTCTTTGATCAACTATATCTTTGAGTTGCACTTATAATTATTTTTTTGGGTTAAAGATTCAAGATGTCCTTTTACTCGTTTCAAATTTCTTAATCGTGTGACTCTAATAAATTTTTCAATAATTATGTCCCTCTACTCTTAATTTGCTTCGCATTTGATCCCTTCCATCACTTTTTTCAAGCAATGGAGACAATTTTTCTCTTAAGAGTTATAAGATGTTGACACATGACATTAATTTTTTTCCCTCTCAATTTATAATACCAGCAAAGAATTAAGTGAAACGAAAAAACCCAAAATTACCCCTACTTAATAACCATACAATTGATTTATCATTGTAAAAAACAAGTTGTTAGCGGAAATCATCTCCAAAATGAATTTAAAAACTACAAGATCAAAGTCAACTTTCCTGTTTCGAAATCCATACAATTGATATTATTACTATAATTATTTAACTAATTTTGTCCAAACCAAGCAAAAATAGGTCCATCATTGAAGAGCATATCAAGCACTTTCTCATGCCTTTGTGCGATCAATGCCGATGCACTTTTCTCGGTAAGACTCGAATTCAACTAGGTTTTTGCAAAATGAATTTAAGGGGTTTCCATTTTTTTTATTTACTTTGGGAATTTAGGGTTTATTTTGGGTATGATTTATGTTTTATCGAGTCATCATTTTGTGTAAAAAACAAATCTCATTTGAGAATTCTAATAGATGGTGATTAGATTAAACCTATGAATGATGGGTTCTTTTTACTCGTAAACATATCTTTTGCATAGTTCACTTTAATGGGTTTGGTCATCCGTTATCTATCAAGGGAAGCGAAGGTGAATACATAGCTCTAAGAAAGATCTTTGAAATTTGCCGAATTGTCATCATATGTGGTTGATTATGTTCAAATTGAAAACAAGAGACATAATTTGTTTTAATGATGGGGAGTTAAAGAAAGGATGTGGTGGTTCTTAGATCGGTTGGGTTTTTTTAATGATTCGGGGATTCAATTTATGATACCGATAAACATCATCTTCATGTTTAACTTAAAAAAAAAAAATGAAAAACGAAGAAGAAGAACTAAGGGTTGTGATTTGACTTTCGATTGTTACTTGAAGGTAGAAGGAGAAAGAAAATTAGAGATAGGTTAGAATCGAGATGGAAATATTTAGGATATAAGGGTTTTTTAAGTGGGGACAATTTAAGGTTTTTCTTTTTTCATTTCACTTAATTCTTTACTCGGTATTATAAATTGAGAGGGAATTAATGCCATGGGTTAGCATCATGTTACTCTAAAGAGAAAAATTGTCTCGTTATTGAAAAAAGTGATCGAAGGGCTAAATACAAACGCAAATTAAGAGTAGATACATAAAATTATTGAAAAATTTAGTAAAGGGACACGATTAAGACATTTGAAACAATAAAGGAACATCCTAGACCTTTAACCCTTATTTTTTCATTCTTACATTCTATCTACATAATTTGTCACTTGACCTTCTTTTCTCATTTAACGTCACCCATTTCATTTCGCCTTCGGTTTGACCCTTTAATTCATCCTAAGGCCTAAACCAGCTCTTATGTGACAATTAAGTATATGTGTATGGAGATCAACATTTTATTTTCAATTGTTTAATCCTTATTCTAGTGGCCCTAGCATATTGTACCGACAAATGGGTTGGGCCATTTTCAACGATCTTTCGAGCTCCACTAATTAATTTCGATAAAGAAGGTTTAATAAGTACATGATCGTTAGGGGCTTTGTGTTGTCATCGAAGTCTTTTGCGAAGAAAAAAAAATAGAAAGAGAGAAAGAGAGAAGGAAAGTCAAAAAGAAGAACATTAGTTGATACTAAGATATGATAGTAAAATGAGAAAAGTAATTTGCAAATGATAACACAATTTTTTAGCAAAATGATTTTCTTAAAAAAATAAAAGCTAACATGTTAATATATTTAAATGAAATGATTTCTACGTGGCAAAAAATATCTTATTATGAAAAATAAGTTTAAAACTATACTATTAAATAAGATTTAAAAATATTTTGTCATGAAAAAAAAAAAAAAAAGTACTACCCTATCCCATGTTCAAATATGCAATTTTTTTGTCGGTTCTAAGGGGAAGGCAAAAAAAAAAAAAAAACATATCCATTTCTTTTACTATAGAATGAGTAAGTGAGAGCTATTGAAAGTGAACTGTGAAATCAAACCAATCACATTATTTCAATACACTATACTGATTAATTATAACACTGAAATTTCTATTGTCTTTGTCCATTTTTAACGGTAATAATATTTTGGCCTTTCACTGCTTTCCATTGATTTTTTTTCCCCCGTCTTCTTGTACTAAGCCTTCGGTATATGCTAACATTCAGTTCCATGTGCCCACAAAGTCTGAGGCAAACAAGATTAGTGGGAACACTTGGGAGGGAGACAAAGATCGCTAGCACAAAAATATTGTGGTGGCCCAAGACTTCAAATATTATACCTATTATTTTCAGTCCAATTCCATGGACTGCTTACTGGCCCAAAGTAGTTTAATTTTTGGGCCTTTAATGAATAAAAATAGGTATCACCGCCAACCTAATTCTTTGATACTCTTAATCTCACCATAAAATAGTAATTAAAAAAATACAGCAGGATCATTTGCTGTCATTTGGATTCTGTTTGTTCAGCGGACAAAAAACTTCCAATAGAAAAAACAATTCTAAAAAAACTATTTTTCAAAAAATTCTTTTTTAAAAAAATATTTTCCGATATTTGATAATTATATAAAAAATATTGAAAAATATATTTTAGCGTTTCTTGGATATAGAAAACTGAAATATAAAAAGAGATTGTAATTGTTACTTCAATGAGTTTTAAGAAAACTTCAACAATTCACAATCTATATACAAAAAGCTACCAAAATAGAACATATGAGTTACCGATATGCTAGTATACCAAAACAGAAATCATTTGTTATAATTAAGAATATATCAAGACAAAGACTTATGGTGTCGAAATATCATTTGGATCATTTCTTTTTTAGCATTTGGATGTAGAAAATATTTTTAAATTAATTTACAATTAAAGTAAATCTTTTTTCGAAAGATTTTAAAAATATATTTTTTAAATCAATAAGATGCATTTAGAAAAAATTAATAAATTTTTATAAATACGACTCTAAGATTTAAATTCAAAAATTAAAATGTTCATCTTTAACCATCAAACTAATTCATCAAAACTATTTGAGACAAAATCAAGTCAATATTCACATTTAGTAAAACAATTTTTAAATAATCATAGCATTGTTATTTTGGTAACTTAATTAAGATTTTTTTTTTTTGAAATTGAACTGATAATTTAGTCTAAAAAATATTTTTATAAATTATTAGTTATCATTTGTAGATAATTATTCATTTAGTTTCAAAAAATTAATATTGGAATAATTTGTAACTAATTATTGACTACAATTACCAATAAAATTTTACAACCGATTAAAATTAATCATAAATTATTGATTTAGTTACAAATGAATAGTATTTAGAAAATAACGTATTTATCAATGAATTAATTAGTTTTATTTTTTCACAAATGATTGCGGTTATGTAATAATCATTTCCAACCATTTAAGTATAGTATAGGTTGTGTTTATGATAATGGTAAAAAAAAATAGAGATAAATTATTGAAATATTTATTATAAAAAAAATTAAGCTGTAAAAATGATTTTTAAAAATATTTAATGTATTTATAAATTGAAAAATCAAATGTCGGTAGAAATAAAAAAAGTTAAATAATTAAGAATAATTGATAAGAAATAATTAAAAATAAATTTGATATATTTTAAATAAAAAAATAAACGAGAGAAAAAAATTATTAAAATATGTTGAGAGAGAGGTGAGTAATGCAAGAGCGAGACGACTCGTGAGAGAAAGAAAATTTTTTCTTTTTTTTTTAGCTAAAAAGTCACTTTTTAAAATATAGTCTATTAATTTTCATTGACTATAAATCAAATTCTGTTAACTTTTTTTCTCAAATGTGAAACAACTATCGAAAAATAGAGAAAAATGAACAAAATAAGTTCTTGAAATTTATTTTCTCCGAAACAAACACGGCTTGGTATAAGAGTTGAGGTAACCAGAGAGTAGTTGTTTGCTGTTTACAAAAAAGTGAGTGAGAAAGCTTGATTAACATTCCTGTGATTATATAATTTTATTCATTACAAATGAACCAGTTTAAAATTCTTCACTTCATTTTTTTGGGCAACTTTTACAATGGTTTTGGCAAATTAATTCAAATATTTAATCTTAAAATGCATTTTCTGATACGATTTAAATGAAGTTTTTTAAACAATAAACTCTTCATATGTTATTATTATAATAATAATGATTTTGATATTCATAGATAGTGGAGTATTTTTGGCGTAGCTTTCACATAAAAAAAAACTAAATTCATCACTTTTTTGTTTTAAATCAATACTAAAACACGCTTATCCTATATACATTATTAGATATGTAATAAACTGTATTTTTTTTTCATAAACATAATATAAAATTATTCATGAATCTTATCATTTTTATATGAAAAGAAATACATTTATTATACTGAATATTTCCTCTGACCCTTCACATGATAAGGCTCTGACTAAAACAGCAAAATGAAAAAATGGACAATAAACAGCCCATAGAGAGAATGCAACTTAACTGAAGGAAAAACTACAGAAGAAAAGTAACCACAAGTCCCAACGTGTGAAAATTTAGAACTCAGTAACTAATTCACAACTACTCTTTGTTCGTGTGTGCGCGTATATATATAAGGGATGTCCCATGCTATCTTTTCAGACTTCTTCATCCATGTGGGATAAATAATAATAATAATAATAATAAATAATTATTTATTTTTAAGCTTCGTCTCTTACTATATTTTCAGACTTCATACGTGTAGGATTAAAAAAAAAAAAAAAAAAGTATTTGGTTTATATAAACTTTGTCTCAGTCTGATCTACTACCGCTGCCGTCAATGATGGTTATGGGATGGAAATTCTTGGCTTTGGAATCCAAGTGTAACAGCTGCGCTCCTAGCGTCATGTACGAGACGAAGCTTATAAATAAATAAATAAATAAACCCTGGGATATAAGTGTATGGACACGTAGCCTATTGGCCCTAATAATTATATGGATTAAATTTCTCATAAGGCCTGGTATATTGGGTTAAAATGCTTGTATGGCCTAAACTACTATTCGGGTTTCAGCCTAAATCGAATCAAAATTAATAAATAAATAAATTTGATTCATATTTTAATAAATTTAAATTAAAAATCAAATTGAAATTGATATTTTAGTTTGGTTTGGTTTTTTATTTAAATGGAATAATGCTCACCCTAGCCCCTTATCATCTTTCCTTGCCAATTTTGAACTTGCTTTATCTCACACGGAATTATAACAAATGGAAGAAAGATGGAAAATCTTATAAAAGACTATAAATTATAAGTGTTTTTAAAATTTTTTCAATGGGTTTTTGTTGCGAATACCATAAAATTTGTTAAGTTTTTAAATTTAGTATTCACACATTTATCATTCTTATGTAATTAAAATAAAATTTTGATTTTTCACCGAAAAAAAAATAAAGAAGCTGAAATTTGATGGCCGAAACCGAATAACCGAATTATTTCGGATTCAGTTTTAATTCTTGTGGGTTCAGTTAATTTAAAACTGAATTGAATTTACCAAAAACTAAATAAAAAAACCTAATATTCATCCCTACACCCCACACACAAAAGTATATTAAAAGCATACTTAATTAGAAATGAAGCAAAACCCAGATGCGATGCTCAAGCAATTTGCTGGAAACAGCATAATTGAAAAGGGTTGGAGACATGGCATGTCGGCCAGCAAAAGAAGAAAAGGATCACCCTTTTTGGGTGACATCCACTCTGACACTAGTTTGAGATCATGATACACACGATCATTTTGACACACGTCTAATTGCATGACATATATATATATATATATATATATATATATATAAGTCAAGCTTAAATGTTTCCCATCTTAAAATTACGGATGGCAATGAGTGCCTAATCATCTATTAATTCAATTTTTTTTTAATATTTTACTAATTATTCATTAAAAATCAACATATAAACCGTTATCCTAATTATATCCAACATATATTAATTTATCCATATATTTAATAATCCTTAAAATTATTTATCAAAAATATTTATTTTAGTTCTTATAATTTTTAAGAAAAGTTTTTTAGTCGTTCAAATTTTTTTATGTTTTTATCATTTCTTTATAAGTTTTTTGAACTTCAATTTTTTTTAAAAAAATATTTTGATCCTTAAAATTTATTTTTTATATATTTTGGTCATTTTTTTATAAGTTTTTGGTCCTCAATTTTTTTAAAAAATATTTTACTCATTAATTTTTAAAATTTATATAATTAAATCTATGTATATTAAAAATAAAAATAAAATAGTGGATACTCATATTTTGAACTCAGTATTAACAAATATATCTTTTTTATCCTTAATCATTTTAATACTTATTAAATTTTTTAATAAATATTTATTAGGTTAGATAAAATCAATATAATTTTATACCGAATTTATTGTCATCCCTACCCAAAATAAACTGAAGAGATCAAATAAACTTTCAAACATGCCAATAACTGAGAATATCACTTTGTGAGACTTATCCATATATATAAAAAAAGCTTTTTAGACGCTTTTTCAAAGGTCACTAGCGCTGGGCAGAAAATCTGCGCTATTTGGATATATACCCATCCTAGCTTACTTGTAAGGCACTGCCTAGTGACCACGGAGACATCCCTGTTGACCAGTTCTGCCCCTTTTCTCTTCTTTATACCTTCCTTGCAGGAGGTGCCTATTGTCCCGTCCGTTACGCCAAACATGGGATGGAATCATCATTATAGGTTATCACCAGTCTATTTAAAGTCTCTGACTTCCAAGGACCAATTATTGACCACTGTCTTGGGAGGACCAATTATTGCTCACATGAACAAAACAATTATTGGAAACACACTGAGTAAATTATAAATTAATCCCTCTCATTTAAAGAAATAAATTAATTAATATCATTATTTTAAAATATTAATTATTTAGTTATTTATATTTTAATTTTATTAATAACTTAGTTCTTTTATTCATTTTTATTAGATTAGTAATTTTTATTTCTAAAATGTCATTCTTTTTATTTTTTTAGGAGAGAGAAAAAATGTCAAAGGGAAAAGAATTAGAATTCTTTTTAATAATCTTAAAAAAAACGAGGAAGTGATTAAGTTATTAAAGAAATTAAAACATAAAGAACTGAATAATTGATTCTTAAAATAAAAGATTCTAATTAATTTATTTTTTTAAATAAGAGGGCTTGATTTATAATTTACTCCTAATACTATTTTTCCTATATATATATATACAACAGAATTTACTTCCGAAAGATCCAATTCATTGGACGAGTGAGATTGATGTTTTTTTTTTTTTCTCCCAGAAGTTAATTACTCCTATGTAAATTGGTAAAAATAGATCTATTCAAAATTGAAATTTGCCTCCTCTGTTATGTTGTAATATTGTCAGAAAATATAAGAGTTATTCTTTCTTGAGTAAAATGTAATAACTCGTGAAATATCATAAAATTACAAAAACAGTTCAAAATTTTTAAAAATATCAAAGAAATTTCATTTTTATCGGAAATGTTATTATTGTTCTTATTATTAATGGTGATGGTTTAAAAAATATCAAAGATATTTAAAATATAAAATAAAATTTTTATAATATTTTCTTAAATGCCCGTAGAGTTTCCACCAAATTGCTTCACAATTTCTGAAAAAGTAAACTATAATGTACTTTTCTTATAATGAATATATATGAGCACTATTAAGCTAATTAAACACTCATTCATAAAGTTTATTGATGATGCAGCACCTTCAACTCTCACATAATAAAAATGGAGATTCGAGATATTCATAAGTAAAATCAAATTAAAAATCCAAGCAGGTGTCGATAATTCACCTACACCACAGCCAAAATTTAAACCTCAACTCATAGGTGTAGCTAGACAATCAGAGCTAGTTCAGATAGCAATCAGATTTGGTTTAGCTACCATTTTTTTCAAGCTTTATAGTTGTCAGCCCAAAAGTCCAATCACAGAGACCAGCAAGGACAGGGACGAAATTACAAGGTGCATGGTGGGGTTAGTTCATCTTGGGTACCAAGAGACAGCTTTTGTTGTAGTAAACTTGCGATTCCTAGCTACAGTTATAAGGGACTGGTGTGTCACATGGCAAGGGGCCATGGATGGAAAAGGAAAAAAAGGAAAAAAGAAAAAAAGTTAAGTGGAGATGATGGAAAAAGGTTGAAAAGCATTCCTTGGGTCCATTGTTGGACCATTTTTCGTTGGAACATCAACTATCAGCCGTCTTATAAAGATCCCAAAAAGAAAATAATGAAGTGAACTGAATCGTCCAACCATTGGAATTGAGAGGGGAAAAAAAGTACTACTATTTTTTAGAATGAAAATGAAAATAAAATAAAAAAGAGAGGGAGAAAATGAAAATGTAATGAAATTGATACACAACATCGATGAGTTAATTTTATTTGGCCGTTTGATATGTGGGTCTCGTAATTATGAATTTTATCACCATATCCGAAAGGTGAAATTGCCTTAAAAAATTGGCGTACTAATTTGCTGAGCTGGTTTTGTAGAAGAGAAATAAAACTTATTCAAAAGGACAATTTGGCAGCAGTGTCTTATTTTATTCGTGAAATAATTACATTAATGTATCGTTTGGTTATAAGAAATTAAAAGTTCGGAATGAGAATGCAAGAATCGAATGAAATTTAAGAAATCGAATGACATTTGTATTCTTATAATATGTTTAAAATACTAATAAAGAATCAAAATACAATTTAAATTTTTTAATATCTGATTTTTTATACAAATAAAAATAATTTTATCAAACTATAATAGTTGTAAAAATAATAAAGATGATGGTAGTAATGATAATAGTGGTGATGGTAATGATAGTGGTGATGCTTGTGATGGTTACAGTGGGGTGTTGGTGGTGGTTGTTGTTATTGTTGTTATGATGGTGATGGTAATGGTGGTAAAACCGTCAATAGACAATAAATAAATAAATAAAATATCTTATTATTTTGAAAAAAATTCATTCTTATTTCTTATTTTTATTTCCACATCTTATATGGAAATGATGTTATGTGTAAATTTTTATTCTCATTCTCACTCTTCATTTTCATTCTCACTTCATTCTTTTTAACTAAATAGCTACAACGTAGAGAATAAAATTTTTATTTCCATTCCGACCACTCAATTCCCGATTACTAAACGAACCTAAAAGTATACTAATTTTTAATATTTTTTTTAATTGAGTGAATATTTTTTTATTTGAGTATAATAATTTTTACAAAATCGTCGATTAAATATTTTATGTTCAAATTCTATCAATTGTTTTATTATTCATGATGCAACCTACTAAATTGTGATTTACTCTTTCCTTCCTGTAGGAAACTTTTCCTCCCATATTACTTTGTCATTTTCTTATCTTTTTAGAAGGTAGAAAATGACGAAGTAATTTGAGAGGAAAAGTTTTCTCCAATTATAAAATAGTAAATCATAATTTAGTAGTTTCGAAGGAAGAGAAAAGATAAAAAAAAAAAATGGCAAAGTAATTTGGAAGGAAAAATTTCCTCAAAAAATGAAAGAGAATATCATAATTTAGTAGTTTGGAACAAATGACGCATCATCAAGTAACAAAACAATTGACATAGGGATAGCAATAGGCGGAATTCAATTTTTTATCCTACCCATAAAAAAAAATACCCTACCCATTAATAATTAAGAAATCCCTATATAAATCTTTACCCAGTCTATACCTAATTCATACTCGTTTTATTCGTCCATTTAATACCCAATAAATACCCATTAAATTTAATTTTTCAAAAATATTCATTTTAATCTTTATAATTTTTTTAGAAAAGTTTTTTTATCCTTAAATTTTTTTTTTTTTTGCATTTTGGTCATTTATTTATAATTTTTTTTGGTCCTCAAATTTTTTGAAAAAAATATTTTGATTCTTAATTTTTAAATTTTATGTAATTAGATCCTTGCATGTTAATAAAAAATCTAAATAAATTAGTGAGTTTTAAGAGTGGATACCCATATCATGAAACCATATTAATGGGTATGTATTTTTTTATCATTATTTAATTCAATACCCATTGAGCATTTTTAATAGGTATTTATTAGATCGAATAAAATGGATATCCGTTTCATACACGGTTCATTGTCATCCCTAAATTAACATAAGTTAGATGAAAATATTGAATTGACACTTTAGTAAAAATTAATGTTTTAAAAAAAAATTGTATATTCAATTAAAAAATATCAAAAATTGATGTAATTATAATGTAATTATTCTTTTTATTAGTTTATAAATTTTGCTTTGCAGCAGCTTATAATTTTTTTAGATTGTAAAGATATTTTCAAATTTGTTTACATATCAATTGAAACGACACACGTGAAGGAGAGTACTTTAGTAATAGCTTCCAATATTTAAAGATTGACCTCCTCAAATGTCGGATATGAATGGTTAATAAATTTTATACAGGACTACTTTCTTATCGATAAAAGTTCAACCAAACAAATTTACTAAGGAAACTAACTTAAAAATAGGTCTCTCTCTCTCTCTCTCTCTCTCAAATACGAATCCCAAAAATAAATAAATAAATAACCACTTTTATCCTTTAATTCATTAATACACCAAAAATTCTTAAAAACCACTTTTATTAAACCTATATAAAAAAAAAAAACTCTTGTACTAAATATTCGTCTTCTTTTTTTAACCCCGTAAAAACACCACCTAAATTTAATTGTGATGCAAATCTAATCTTTCTTAAAAAAAAAAAAAAAAGTTGGGAAAATTGCAACTTTTTTTTTTTTTTTTGGGTGAGTTCTTAAAGAAAATTAATGCCCACCCCCCCCCCCCCCTTCCTCTCTTTTCCTGTGCGTAGGGTCTCGCTTGTGATCTCAAGATTTAGGAGGGAAGACAAATTAAAATTTTCCATTTCTAATTGGATTCTTAACAAACATATTATATATATCACGTGTTAATTATGGGATTTATGCTATACTTTTACCTTCCAAAAGGCCGTGGTGGATTTGACATTATACCCACTAATGCCACTTTCAGTTGAATTTAAAACCTGTTTCAGGTGATGAAACGCATCACAGACCAAACAATTATTAATTATTTTTTGAAAAATAAGATCAAACAATAATTGTTCATAAGTACCTAATCATGTGTAAGCTTCATAAATACTCTCTCTCTCTCTCTCTATATATGTATGCTAGCTAGAATGTTGACATTGCATGCAATTGATGGAAATTTAAGGAGAATGTAACTAGAGAAAAAAAGTTCCGTCCAATATATTCTCCAAACGTGGGTGTCAATCGCTATAGTATATGAGTATTTGATAACACACAAGCAACTTTAACTTATCCATTTTGTACTTTATTGATTTTTTTTAGTAAAATAATAATAATAATAAAAGAATTGGTGGGCCTGGTTATCTATTAAGTTATATTCATATGACTCTTTACGCAATCTATAAAAACTAGTACACGTTAATTCAATGCTACTAATAAGAAGATAACTTTTAATAGGTTCGATGAGTAAATTGATCAAACGTCTTTACTTAGGTTAACTAAAAATTAAAATCAGCATGTGTATATATATACATGGGAGGCGGCTTTTATAAGTAATCAAATGATCGGTGTTGGGCAAATCAGTTAAGATATAAAATATAAAAATAATGATCAATTACTCAAATAGAATATATATAAATAGTGAGACATGAAAAAAGAAATAAATAGTGCTAGCAAGGAGCAATTTGAATGGCAAACAGTGTAAATGATTAAAATCCAAATAGATAACAAGCATATGAGTGGTTAAAGTTCGAGTGAAAGAGTTTTAAGAGAAAAACAAAAAGGAGTTAAGGTGTTTTGCTAAAGTTTAAAAATTTAGAATCTCTTTGCAATGATGTGAAGTTAATATTTATAATGAATTGAAGATGATCTTTTACTACTAATATCATGTCACGTATTTCTATTGAGATGATAATATTTGAGTTGAAAAAATCAAATTTTTTAAAAACTAAATTGCTTCAATTTGTTGGCGTATACTAAAAATAAGTATCAATTGAGTTTTTTTAGTAGATCGTATCTCAATTCACCAAACTAGTCTCTTTGACATATCTCAAAAATAAATTATGAATACTCGGTCTTGCTAAAAAAATACTTATATCCTTCTTTACATGATCCAAAGCCTAATATTATACCTATTCTCAATCCAATCTATTTGTTGTATAGTTTGGATTTATCTCAAAACAAAAATTAAAAATAACATAAATTAACCCATAATAATCTAACTAAATTTACTTAATTATTTTTTTGAAAAAACATCTAGCATATATTGTATATTTAGATGAGACGTAATTAAGGACGACTTCTTCTTACCCTTATATTTTCTTAAGTTACAATATTGTTGTGCGGCACACAAAAAATAAATTTTTTTAAAGACTAATTGGAAATGCTAGATAAGCCTAAGAGCCTATGAAGCAACGAGAAAAGCCTATATGGTGTCCAAGAGAAATCTAGACATGTCTTAGAGAATTTTAGAGAATCCCTCATTATTCTAACTTGTAAATATCTAGATAGTTTCTTCTAAATATCTAGTTAAGATAATTCTAGATAATCATGTGTAGCCATTAGATCAAGTAGATCCTAGTCATCTATTGAGAAGGTGGAAGATTATAAATGAAGGAGGCATTCATTTGGCCAAAGCATCCAATCCAGGAGAGAAATACAAGAGTTGTATTCTAAGAAAGTTGTAAGCTTTAGAGAGCAATACAAAGTGTTTTTATATCTCTTATGTGTATCTTTCTTCCTAACAACTTTGTGTGAGAGAAAGATGACTTAGCTTGACTTAGAGAAGAAGTGAGCTAAGTGTTACACTAGAGCTTGGGAAAGGCTAAGTCTCGTGATAAGTGGTATCGAGCTAATTGTTTATCAAGTATGGTTAAGCTTGCAGACTAGCTAAGTATTTAAAACAAGTAAGCATGTTTAGCTTTGATATTAAGGATGTTGTTGGGGACACTAGGAATTAGACTTTACCTTCTCAACCTAAGAAAGGAACGAGGAAGTCTAATGACATGTTGGTTGCCTTGGAGGAGTTGTTAATGTAAGTGCCTAAGATCTAACTCCGATTGGATGGTTTGATTTATTATATTATTGCATTTTTAATATTAATAAAGTTTTTTTTGTTAATTTTTATTATTTATAATTTGATAGAATTAGATAGAAGTCCATATGATATGCATTGCATTAATGATTGATCAATAGATATGAAACAAATATTAATGCATTTAAATAATATCATTAAATATTTCAAGTTGTAGCATTGTCAAGATTTGACATTGCCAACATATAGTAAGACTTGTGAGTGCTATGTTCTCGCTATAAGATAGTAGTAGGAGATCTCACACATATTGGCATGATGAAGTCAAAGCAAACACTCGTGTGAATAAATGTTAAAGAACATATCACTCTGGATGTGACTCGCCATGAGAACCCATTTGGTTTAGTCTATGAGAATCTCATATGAGATGGATACAACTGGTCTTTTTAACTTGAAATCTTCACGGTTATCTCATTAAAAGATTGGGGTATTTTGACATTCGTTTCGATGGGCTCAATAAAAAGCTGCATGTGAAGGATTCATTGGGTGTATTAGGAATCTAATGGAGATATATGAATGACTAAGATAGGATATATCATTCTTTATATGCTAAAAGAGTTATCACATTGCATTTCGATGAATGTTTAGTCAAAGAATATGTGGTTATAGTGGAAGTTTACCAACATAGCATAATTGGTTTACTTTTTAGTTAAGACAATTGAAGATCGAAGAAAACTTATGTAATCATAATCGAATAGAGTATAAACTAAGTTTGAGATCATACTATGCTAAATTGAAATAAGAATTGAATTATGTGAAAACCATTCTCGTGATAAGTAATTGTGGATTAATTAATTCTTCAAGAGAATTGGGTAGTCATGATGTCTTACTAGAGATCAATCTTGATTTATGTTTCGGGAGAAAAAAGAGGCATCTTTTATCTTCTTGATACATTACTAACATATCTTAGAGTCTATTAAGTCACAAGCATAATTTTAAACATTCACATAATAAAAGAGAAGTAAAGATTTTGGAAAACGTTTCTTGTTTTCAAAAGTTTCCTATTTTAGAAAAATCAGTTTCCTAAAATGAAAATTAGTTTCCTATTTCAAAAATTAGTTTCCTAATTTAGAAGTCAGTTTTAAATTTGAAAGTCGAGTTACCTAAAATGGAAATTAGTTTCCTAATTTAGGTTTAAGGGTAATTTGAAAAAAAATTCCTAATATGGGCCTCCCTAAAAATATTTGACCCAATTTATTTGGATGGTCTAAATTATCTCGTAATTAATTAGGCAAAAAGAGTTTGGAGCAATAGGTTTAATTTAAAAGCCTATAAGGTATTTTGATGGAGAGATAAACTTGAGCACGAAAGGATAAGACTCAATAATTACAAAGATAAAGCAAGTCAAAACCCACATAAGCAACAACTCCTTTCCTAAGAGGGAGTTATTGTCACATTGATAGATAAGAGAGAGAGAGAGAGAGAGAGAGAGAGAGAGAGAGAGAGAGAGAGAGAGGGTATAAGATATCGGGAAAAAAGAAGAACACTCTCTCCCTTAAAAAAAATTTGGCCACCATCTTTCTCTCAAATAGGTTGATACGAAAACCCTATTTGATTTCTTAGAAGAAAGATTTTCTATACAAAATAGTTGGAGCTAACACATCATGATTTTTGTTGCTTTTTGTGTGAGTGTTTAAGCTATGTGGATTATCGATGGAGATTGGATATTTAGATAGCTTGTTTCCATAAAGTTAAATTCTATACTACAAGAGGTAATCACTCATTATTATCTTGTTTATGTTTATATGATTAGTTGATTCAATAGTATGATTTTGAAAACTTTAGATGTATAAAATTTTTATTTATTTATTCTATACCTTTATATGATGTATAATCCCTCGGGAGCGACTCTTAATGGTGGGGGAACACCTTGTAGATTTCAAAGAGAGACTCGAGGAGGTAGAGGGAGATAATAAAGGGGATACATTAGGCATGACAGCCTACGTGAGGTGCTCTTTAATCTTCAAGCTCAAGTGGAATCGATTGAGAGATGTGTCAAAGAGAGTGCTATAAAAAGAATGCCTTTGTGCAATAGATGAAAGAAATGTTCAAGCAACATCAAGAGTCTCTAACTAGGTATGAGCAACATTTTGAATAACTTAGAAAAGATTGAGTAATTTACCGAGAAGCCATCTCTAATGGTGTGGTCTTAAAGGATACATCGAAAGTTAAAGTGTCAAGACTAAGGCACTATGCTCGGAAAGCGGGATGCAAGGAAGTTGATAACTTCTTTTAGTAAATGGAGTACTACTTCAAGGTAGTGGACTTGAGTGAAGATAATAGTCGTGTCAAGACCGCTACTCTATACCTTACGAGAGGATGCTCGCTTTATGGTGACGTATGAAGTACTAAGAGTTGAAATAGGAAAATCAAGAGTTACCTAGTTGGGATGAATTCAAAAAAGTTATATATATTTAATTTTATCCTAAGAAAATAGATTAAAAAGCACAAGATAAGTTATGAACATTAAAGCATACGAGAACTATTCATAAGTACGTTAAAGAACATGTCTTCTTTAAACTTCGTAAATATGACAAACCCGATTATGATCATATGCATAATTTTATTAAGGGACTTCAACCATGGGCATAATAAGATATGCGAGGTCAACGACCTAAGACGTCCACCAAAGCCGTGACCATAACTAAATCCCTAATTGAGTATAAAAAAAAGTAAAATCCTCCAAGCCTAAGAAAGATTTTAAAGGTAAATGTGAGGGAGCCTACGAAAAGAAGAGGTACAAAGATGGACAAGAAAAATCACATAAATCTAAAGTCTTTGTCAAAGAGCATGACAAGAGAGAATTCAAACCCAAGGGTTGCTACTTCTACAACGGGCTATATCAATAGAGAGAGTACCCGAAGTGACAAGCCCTTAATTCCTTGATAGATGAGAAGGAATGTGCTC